ATCAGTTACGGCGTTGGGATCGGCGCGTGCCAGAAAAGCGGGCAGTGGCAGCGGGCTCTGTCGCTGCTCAGGGAGATGGGAGAGGCCACGGTAGAACCCGACATCTTCAATTACAACGCTGGGATCAGCGCGTGCGAAAAAGCCGGGCAGTGGCAGCGGGCCCTCTCGATACTCAGGGACATGTGCGAGGTGAATTTAGAGCCCGACGTCATCTCTTCTACAGTACTGGGTAATTCACGTGCGAGAAGGGCAGATTGGTCCGCTCGGTCCAGCCCTGGGCGGCGAACGCGAGATTCGACCAGACAGGCCCGAAAACACTGCCAGAAAGGCTGCAGATCTTCCAAATCGTGCCAAGCTCATTTTTTCCCAACCATCCTGCGGTGTTGGGTCTTCGTTTTGAGCCAGCAGCGCTCCGCGTCTCCTCTCCTTCTCTTCTCTCCTCTCCTCTCCTCTCTTCTCCTCTCCTCTCCTTTCCTCCCTTCCCATGCTTGCTTCTGCCCGCCGCATGCACATGTCGGCACACATCTCACACGTTTCGTGCCAGCATGGGAAGCTCCCCCGAAGGCCCCAGAGGCAGCGCCCACATGTGGGCATCAAAGACGCTTCGTGGCCTCATAGGGAGCTCCACCGAAGGCCGTGGAGGCACCGTTCACATGTGGACGTCACGCCCGTTTCGGCACACCCATCACACGTTTCGTGGCCCCATATAGGGGCTCCACCGAAGGTTCCAGAGGCACCGTCCACACGTGGCCGTCACGCCCGTTTCGGCACACCACTCACACGTTTCGTGGCCCCCACAGGGAGCTCAATCTACGACCCCGGAGGCACAGCTAACATCTGGGCGTCGCACCTATTTCGGCACACCCCTCACACGCTGCGTAGCCCCACGGGCGGGGGCCCCACCGGAGGTCCCCAGGCGCAGTTCACATGTTGGCGTCGCGCCCGCTTCGGCACGCCACTCGCACGTTTCGTGGCCTTCTTGGGGGTTCCACCAAAGGTCCCAGAGGCACCGTCCACATCCGGGCGTCACGCCCGTTTCGGCACTTCCTTTACAGGTTTCGTGGCCCCACAGGGAGCTCCACCGAAAGCCACAGTGGCTGCGTTCGCTTGCGCTCCCGCCTCTCGTTTCGGCACGCCCCTCGCACGCTTCGTGGCCCCATGGGAGGCTCGCCTCCTGGAACCCCTGCCTTGCGGCATTCACACCTGCATGTGGTTGGGTCCTTCGCCCGGATAAGATTTGAGCATTTTCCAGCCATCCTGTGGTGTTGGGCTCTCGTTTTGGACTAGCAGCGCCCCGCGTCTCCTCTCCTCCTCTGCTCCTTTCCTTCCCTCCTCCCTCCTCCCCATGCCTGCCTCTGCCCGCCGCATGCACATTTCGGCATACCTCTCACACGTTTGGTTGCACCACAGGGAGCTCCACCTGAGCCCCCTGGTGGTCGTGTTGCTTAGTGCCCCCCCGACTGTTTTGGCACACCCCGAAGAAGTTTGAAAGAGCGCTTTCAGTCGCTGCTGGCAGGGGGGGTTCAACCCGCATGTCGGACCAATCCCAACCGATTGGGACCAACTACAACCGACTGGGACACTTCTCAACCGGCCAAAAACCAACTGGCACCAATTACAATCAGACACTTCGTTCCTACAGTCGGATTCCTTTTGTACAGCACTTTAAGACGATCCAGACATCATATGGACTTCTTAGGGGTGCACATTCGCTCTGGGAGTCAACATGTGTGCCCCGACTGGACTTGGCACCAGTTTATTATATTGGATTTGGGGGCGGTGTTGTTTTGCAACAACAGCTCACAACAACACATATCACCTCCAAGCAACAACATAAGCCAACACAACAAGACCTATTCACAACACATACCCACACAGCCCACAATAACGCATTTCGAACACCCGAGTTATTATCCTCCTTGTCCTCGGCCTTTATTTCCCTCCTTTCCTGCCTCTTCCCTCCTCCTCCTCTTCTTCTTGTTCCTTCTCATCCCCATCTTCCTCGTGCCGCATTCCTCGTCTTCCTCTCTTGTTTCCTCTCCTGCTTCTCTCTTATTCCTCCTCCTCCTCCTCCTCCTCCTCCTCCTCCCATCGTTTCCCTCCTCTTCCGTTTCCTCCTTATCCGCCTCCGCCTCCTTTTCCTCTGCTTCCTCCTCCTCTTCTTCCTCCTCCTCCTCCTCCTCCTCCTCCTCCTCTCCCTCTTCTTCCTACCCCCAAGCTGGTCCCAGGAAGTCTAGCGTGGTTCAACACAGCTTCGAAGGCGATCCATATAGCTGAGCATGGCCGAGGATACCTCCTGGCACCCTCCAGCCGAGCAGGGCTGAGAGACGACACGGCGGCGGCGGTGGGGGGCAGGGCGACTCGTTCGGCCACGCTCTCCCCCCCCATGGGTTCGGGGGCCTCCCGAGCCCCCGAGGGCACGAGGCGCTTCCAGTGGAAGCGGCGCCCTCGGAACCAGGGGGACATCCCGCGCCCGCAGGAAGGGAGGCGGGGGCCGAAC